AAATAGATTAATCTTTTCTTATCTATGTTTATTTTGAATATCAATTATTGACTATCTCTATTCAAGTATTAACTTGTTATTATATGATATATGTTGGACAAACCTTTTTCTAAACATTTCGTTATTCAACTTATTGAATGAAATGTAAAATTGGGGTTTGTTAATGGAAAATAATTTATATTATTTTTAATTAAATATAAATATAAATATATATTTATCAAGTTCTTTATCATCAATTAATGGTTGTTCAAGATAATCTCTATCATGTGCATCAACTTCTAATTGTCGTTCAATTTCTTTATCTATTTCCGTTCGTATCATCAGATATCATTTGATTTGATTTCTAAATTAAAATAAATATTTTAAAATTTGTTAATATTTATTTTATTTAATGAAATTACATCAAGTTTTTTTTCATTAAAACAGCAATCCATCCACAGCCTATCATTAAATGACTTTTTTTTTCACCATTGTGGAGAATCATCTTGACGTAATGCATCCTTTTTATATTAAAAAAATCATACAAAAAAATAATAATTAAAAAGAAAAAAAGTCTAATTTTTATTATTCCATTCCAATTATCATCGGTTGCAATACGAAATAATGTTAAAAAAGATACACCAAAATCTTTAAAATATGCATGTTTATCAAGTCCAGTACATGGACGTTCTTCATTACATTCTAATTTTCCAAATAATTCGACATCAAGTGCAGCAAACATGAAGAAAAAATAAAAGATCTTCAATTAATTCAAATTTTCATTTAGATATTTGTTTTGTTTTCAAAAATTCATAACAAAGAATTTTCTGTAATGTTTAAATAAATTTTAATGATAAATATCTTCAATTATTTTATTGTAACTATTCGAGACTCTTCTCTCAACTCAACTCTTTATTTTCGATAATTGACATAAAAATTTCAATAATTCATCATATTTTTTCCTAACTATTAACTTCACATGTATATCTATAATGATGTTAAACACATAAAAAACTTAGTATAATATACTGTGTTACTTATCAAATGTTCTTTATGGTTTATTCGAGGAGTAAACAACTGAGACTTCAGCCTTGAAAAAATTTTTTTAAAAATTTGAAAGTTTTTTTTATTTGTTACAAAGGAAGTTGTTCTTGTAAATGTACTCGTCATGCATTTATCAATTAAAATAAGATTAGGAAATTTTCAAAATTTGATCAAATAGAATGTAAGAAAAATGATGAAATCTTTGATAAAACTAATCGAAAAAGGATCTGTTAAATAACTAATAAAATATGGGAATACATTATACAATACAATATAAAATTTAAAAAGAAACTAACCTCCCGCAATTCTGAGTACTCTCAAAATACATGTAAAAGTTGGATTAATCAAAAGTATATGTCCACTATTCATTTTTTTTACAATCATTTCAACTATTGTTATATCAAGTTGATTCCATCTTTAAATAGAATATATAAAGAAAACATCTTTTTTTTTTTTTTTCTAATAAAATAGTTGTCTTTAAAATAACGTAATGATCCAAGAGCAATAATCTTTGATATTGATTCAATAATAAAAGCAGTTGTAAATACATAATTACAATAATCAAGAGTCTATAAAATATTTAATAATGGAAAAGAAAAAGAATACTGGTGACATTAAATAAAACTCGAATGACATAGTAACAATATTTATTATAAAAAAACCAACAAGTAATAAAAATGATATAAAATAAACTAATTTAGCTTCATTATAATTTCTTATTGATTGTATATCAACATCAACAATATCAATACTATTATACATTATTTGTATCTAACTATCTTGAGATGATGATATTAATAATGCCATTAATTATATATATTTATATAGATTTATTCAATAAAACATACTTGACCTAAAATTATCAAAATTATATTGTTGATTTTTCCAATGATTGACATTGTTGTTGCTTTGTTATATTATTGAGCTAATAAACCTTTCCATTGAATAACTTAACAAACAAATAATATATTAATCTCTTATCATTGTTATTAATATACATAATAAATAATATGACGTTATGTCTTATACTTATAGAAACTAATGAAAAACATCGAAAATAAAAGCTTAACACAGTTACTTGCAGTATATTTAAATGAATGAGAAATTTTCAATATAGAAAATCAATATTATTATTATTAACTTTCGAATTAAGATTTTTTTTTCGATTTTTATTTTCAAATTTGATAAAACTAATTAGATTTTAAATAAAACTATTGAATCTATTCAGTTATTGATATCGAATCTCTTCTCATTTTTGTTATTAATCGAATATTAAACACAAATTGTTTAGATTTCCAAAAGATTCAACAAATATCAGTCAGAAATTTATTGATCGCTTTTCATATCTATTTATAAATTAATACTTTTCTATGATTAAAATAAAAATATATTCGATCAGCTTGTCTTATGACTAAATTATTTAATTATTGATCATATATGAAAAATACAATATTCAATAAAAGACAAAACTGACATCAACGAAACTATATTCAATTTTCTTTTACAAATTAATCGAAATTTTATTTCTAATAAATCGAATGGTTTTTGTTTTACAGAAAATATAGAATTGATTATGATTTATAGAAAAAAAAAATACATTAAGTATACCAAATATAATAAAAGCAAAAAAAGTAAAACATAAAACAACAATATAATCAATCGTTCGTAATGATGAAAGTAATGTTTTTGCCACCAGTTTAACACCACAGGTGCTCAACTAATAACTATAAATAAACAAATATTCAAATTAAAAATGTATTAAGATCAATAATTGATGTAATAACAAGAGAACCATCCACTATGTAAATAGGCATACAATCCAAGTATAAGTTCACTTGCTATATTACTTTTGTCGACATTTCTATTGTAAATATTATATTTGTTCAATTTAAAAATTGTCCCTCCTACAAAACAAAATATTTATTTGAATATTTTCTTTTTTTTTTTTGTTTAATGAAAAGCAAAAAAAAAGACGTTTGTTTTCATACAGCACTTGTTGTTAGTATCGATGGACGTTCCATAACAAGTATCATACAATTAAGAGCTATTATAAATAATCAAAAGAAATATATTTATATGCATTCTATTTTATTAATAATAAGTGAATAATTTTCTCGTTTTTCAATAAGTTTAGATAATTGTTCTCCATAGGGTGTGGGTGTGTGGGTGTGGGTGTGGGTATGGGTGTGGGCGTTAGCCTTCTGCTTTTGTACATCCACACCCCCACACACCCACACCCACACTCACCAAGGGGGAAACAGCAGAGACGTCAGTTGTGAAGTCTCATGAAGTCTTTCGAAGTCTTCTGAAGTCTCTTGAAGTCTCTTGAAGTCTTATGAGGTCTCACAAAATCTCTTGAAGTCTCTGAAGTCTCATAAAGTCTTATGAAGTCTCATGAAGTCTTTTGAAGTCTCTTGAAGTCTCATGAAGTCTTTTGAAGTCTCTTAAAGTCTCATGAAGTCTAATGAAGTCTAATGAAGTCTCTTGAAGTTTTTTGAAGTCTCTGGAAGTCTAATGAAGTCTCATGAATTCTTCTGGAAGTTTTGAAATACATTTACCCCAGGGCAAACAATCAGACACTAAGATCGGACAAGATTCTGTGTCTGATCATGTATGATCTTGTAGGATTCATACCAAATCGTACAAAATATCTTAGCCTCTGAAAACTTACATCAATTCTTACTGTAAGACTCTTGACAGGTTTTGTTGTCTTGCCAAATCTTACTGTAAGATTTTAGAAAATCTTATGCGACGGTAGGAACTGATAGAAATCTTGCAGTAAGAATTGATGTAAGATTTCAGAGACTACGATTTTTTGTACGATTTCATATATTTGTATAAGATCTGCTGTCAAATTTTTTGACCTGGGTAGTGCATGAAAATTCATAAGAAACCAATGAAATTGTCTTGTTTTCGATGGTCTTATTTTAGCAGAAAGGGAAACCTTTTATTTTTTTTTCAATGTGCTGGAAAAAAATTCAAGTTTGTTGGATCTTAGAAAACATAATAGTTAATAACTGAATGCTTTTTAAATGAAGTGATTTATTTTTATAAGAAATGTTCCATCTATTGAATGTCAGTCTTATGAAGAATTTTATTCCTATTTGTTTGTTTCTATCACTCGTGATAATCTATCAGCCGATAAACGGCTAGCCTTGCCGGTCAATAAGAAACCAGCCGTTTGCTTGTGTATAAGTTTAGTCTTGTTATTTATTTGCACCTGAAAATAGGAGTTTTTCAATGCTGGATTAATCGAATCAACTATACGCGTACCAGTAAAGTTTATTGCCTCAGTTTCAATTTCATCAACGCTTTGTGTCATTGCCACATCTTTATTATAGCTATGGATATACTGCGAGAAATAATTCTCAGAAACAAGAAACACTTTTGTAATCTCTATATGATAAGTTTTTTTTTTTTGCTTGTTATAGAAGTTTCATGTAATTTCTATAAAGTTTTTTGACACTCATAGAATCTGCCTCCTGAAGTCTTGTGAAGTCCTATGAAGTTTTGTGAAGTCTAGCGAAGTCTTGTGAAGTTTTATGAAGTCTTGTGAAGTCTTATGAAGTTTTGTGAAGTCTGGAGAAGTCTTGTGAAGTTCTATGAAGTCTTGTGAAGTCTTACGAGGTTTTGTGAAGTCTGGCAAAGTCTTGTGAAGTTTTATGAAGTCTTGTGAAGTCCTACAAAGTCTATGAAGTCTCACAAAATCCGTGAAGTCTCATGAAGTCCGTGAAGTCTCACGAAGTTTGTGAAGTCTCACGAAGTCTGTGAAGTCTCACGAAATCTTTTGAAGTCCTCTGAAGTCCCATGAAATCCTATGAGGTCTTGTGAAGTCCTTTGAAGTCATATGAAGTCTTAGGAAGTCTTTAGAAGTCTTTTGAAGTCTTGTGAAAATATGAAGTCACTATGGTTGAAGTCTGTTGAAGTCTGTTGAAGTCTTTTGAAGTCTTGAAGTCCGTTGTTTCTCCCTTGACCCACACCCACATCCACACTCACACCCACATCCACACTCACACCCACATCCACACTCACACCCACATCCACACTCACACCCACATCCACACTCACACCCACATCCACACTCACACCCACA